CTGGTGGTCACATTCGTGGCTTCCCAATTCCCCCTTGGGGCCACCCGAGTGGGCAGGAATCCCATTAAACCTGAATTTTTTGTTTTTTTTTTTTGGTTTTTCGAGACAGGGTTTCTCTGTGGTTTTGGAGCCTGTCCTGGAACTAGCTCTGTAGACCAGGCTGGTCTCGAACTCACAGAGATCCGCCTGCCTCTGCCTCCCGAGTTATTTTTTTTAGTTTGGCTTGTTGTGATTTGGCTTGATTGGGATTTTTTGCATTGGCAGAGAGCTTGCATTAAGAAAATTCCTAACAGTTAAATTTCAATTTAGATCATGAATTGACTAGAGATTTCCCTTGGATACAGGAGGAGAGGAGGCATACCTTGTAGGTACCATAATTCTACTATAAGTCTGTGAAGCAAGGACAATCTATGCTGTCCTAAGAATTAAGTTTGAGCATATAGTTGGCCCCAAAGATACTGTGAGATCCAAGGTTGAGAAGGTGATGGATACTGAATTGAAGCAGCCAGTCATTAAGTTAAAAACTCAAGACCTATATTTTATCTTGCTGAAAATGTGGCACATTTCTTAAAAAGAAATAATAAAAATTAAATTCTATAAGGTTTTGTAATTTGAGTGCTTGCCATCAACAGCCTCAGGGTTCCAAAAATGACAAATGCTTGGAATCTTTTGAACATGTTTTAGATTACTGCATGTGACTCTCAGGTCTTTACCAGCAAGGCAATGTGCTCATTATACATTACATAGATTATCATCTCCAGAAGATTATAGGTCCAGTACACTTGCTGAAAGAATATCTCACAATTATCATGACTGAATGCACATATTAGCCACGTGTAATTACTGTAGATGAAGCAAGACACGCCTGATGGTGAATGCTGATGGCTGTCGAAGTTTTGTTTGAATGGAATAAATTTGAGGACTAAGTTTTCTGCTTAGAAAAGAATGAGCATGATCAAATGCACATAGTGAGGCTGTAAAGCAGCAGGGTCATCATCTTTGACAGTAAGAGGATTAAAGGAAATGAAGTCAGTTTTAAATGTTCTCTTAATGAATAAACCTGGGTGATAAGAAGGAGCTCTGGGATGTTCTGGGGAGACAAACCGGGGAATTCAGGGATGTTCGGCTGAGGAAATAAAATCTTTGAAGCTGAAATAGATTCTCAGGACCACTACAGTCAATTACGTCTTTTTTTTGTTTTCTGTTAGGTAACCCTAGGAGCTGTGTGTGGGTCGCTTTGAGAGACCCAATGGAACATGTCCAGTGCTCCAGTTAAAAAGAATTCTTTTTGAGACTGTAGATTAAGTCAACCCGGATCTCATTATGTAGCTCAGCTGGCCTCAGGCTTCCGATTCTTCTGCCCCTGCCTCTCAATAGAATGTAATTTTTTCAATTCTGGGGATAATGTTGATGGAATATAAATCAATGGAAACCCAGAAAGCCCAATGTGCTTACACAAGACCTCAAGATAGTGAAGTGAAGGAAGAGCCCAGCGCTGTTACTTCATCCCTGCATGTATATCTCATGGAACAGTGTTTTGCACAGATTATGAGCTCAATAAATATTTACTGACTCAATGGTGAATGAATGAACCCTTGATTCTTATTTTTTTTTAATTTTTTTTTTGGTTTTTCGAGACAGGGTTTCTCTGTGGCTTTGGAGCCTGTCCTGGAACTAGCTCTGTAGACCAGGCTGGTCTCAAACTCACAGAGATCCGCCTGCCTCTGCCTCCCAAGTGCTGGGATTAAAGGCATGCGCCACCATCGCCCGGCTTTGATTCTTATTTTCTTACAGGATTATTCTCATAGTATCATAGAACCTCTGAGTTCTGAAGCTTGAGAAACACCTTTTTTTGCTTTGTGATATTTTAACTAGTGCTATGTATAAAAATATAATGCCAAAATCTAATTTTCCAGCTAAATCTCACTCTTTCTTTCAGTTCTGGACTTGCATCATAGGGATTTTTTTTTCTGCAGATGTTTCTCCCCTGCATTATTTGAACGTTGTAAGACTTTAGCCTGCTAGGTAGAATCTGATAATTATGCAACAAAAAATAAAGCAACCGCGCAAGACCTGTTTGCACAATTGCTAAGAATAAAGATGATAATACAGGAGCTGTCCTAGCAATGGATCACAACTCTACCTTATATAATGTATTCATGTCCAGGACTGTCATAATGAAGTACCACAGAGACTTAAATAAATTTATTTTTTCTGAGTCCATAACGCTTGAAGACCAAGATCCAGATGTCAGCCCGATGACTACTGAGGGTTATAAGGAAGGAGTCTATTCATACCTTCACCCTTGATGACCTTTTTGTGTTTTAATATGTCTCTACTACTGTTTGTGCCTGTGTTCAAGTATTTGTACTGTGAGGATAGCAGTCCCATCAGATTAGAACCCAAACTAATATCCTCATTTTAATTACTTCTTTAAATATTGCATCTCCAAATAAGGGCATATCCCAAGTAACTGAATGTTTATGATTCAACATATAAACCCCTGTGTGTGTGTGAGAGAGAGAGAGAGACAGAGACAGAGAGAGACAGAGAGAGGAGAGAGACAGAGAGAGAGGAGAGAGAGACACAGAGAGAGACAGAGAGAGAGGAGAGAGAGAGAGAGAGAGAGAGAGAGAGAGAGACAGAGACAGACAGAGAGAGAGGTGAAGAACCACTTTTTATCACATTATATTAAACTCTTGTTTGGCATTTTCCTCTGAGTTGAAGCTTTTCCTCCAGGAAGGAACAAGAGGCTTATGAATCTCAGAAGGTTTAAAAGAAAAAAATGCTCTCCACTACTCTTGAAAAACAGAAACTTGGAAGACTCTTGAGGAGCAGTAGTATAAAAGGAACCATATTCTCCCCAGTACTATAAAAAGAAGTAAGCACTTGTTGGGAAAGAGACTGGCCAGCAGAACTGCAGAGAGAAGACATTGTTGGACTGCCCATGAGTCTGCCTGCTAGCTATGTTGAGAGCCCCAGAGTCGTGGCTTTGGTGAGTCTTTTCACATGTCAGGGAAAGGATTCTTAGTGGTGTAGCTGCTTTTGGGTCACCTCTTCTTCTACTAAGCTACTTCTCACCCAGATCCCTGTTAGTAACCTCCTAAAAACCCACTGGCTCATCAAGTTTGACATTGGTGCAACTCTTTCTTTGATCTGTTCCAGTTCTGGGATGAATTGATGAATTGTGCCACCCCAGGAAAAGTCTGTCACACAACAATTCTCCATCCTATTTCCCAGTAGCAGTTGAAACAACGTTACTAGAACTTCTAGTTTGAAGTTAAGCATGCAACTGCCCAATAACATCAAGGTCCTGCCCAGACAGGTACAGCACTGTGCTGTGACAAGATGATGGGCCTCCAAGTTTGCCTGCTACTTTGCTAAGAGTAGCTAGGGAGTGGGGCTTTACCAACACACTTGTCAAAAAAGAACATCAATAATAATTGACAAAACAATAGTTTCTTCTGTGAAAACCAGTTTTCCTCATTTGTAAAATGCTGTAGGGGGTCTGAATGACTTCAATCTCTGTTGAACTGTAGCTTGACTGATGAATGTCATATTCTGAACCTGGGGATTTATAAGAGGAATCTTCATGAGGATCCTAGCAAAATTGATGAATTTCTTCTCGGGCTTCTGCAAAGAACTTAAGAAGAAAAAATATATGTGAGGAAAATGTAGTTAGAAATAGTTTGAAAGAGCAAAAGGATTTCCTTTATCTTTGTTTCTGATGAACATCTTCCAGTTGTGTGAAAGTGTGAGAGTCTGTACTCCTTACAGTCAAGGGCCTCCTTATTCAACCAGATGATACTCAGGAGCCACAGGCTTAGCTTCCTTAGCTTTTAGCATTGGCTGATGTGTTAACTATAGCTTTAGGGCAATTTCCAAGAGTCTCGCAATTAAAAAGAGTGATATTCTTTTTCCTTTTCTTTATTTCTTTCTTTTTAAAACTAAGATAGGCTTTCTTTGTGTATCCCTAGCTGTCCGTCCTGGAACTTACTCTGTAGACCAGTCTGGCCTCGAACTCAGATATCCTCATGCCTTTGACTCCTGAGTGCTGGGATTAAAGGCAGGCACCACCGGATGCCTGGCTGTGATATTCTTGATAAGGTCCTTTAGAATTTTTCCCTAGTAACTCAACTAAATAATACAGTTCAGCAGGTAGCACAGGGGTGTCTGCATTGTGAGATGGAAATGTGACATTTGTATTAATTACTATTTAGCATTTTCTGATTCAGGCACCTCCTGAACTATGTTGCTCAAATCCCTGGGTCACTAATTGGGTCTACAGAGCTCAGAAATTTTAGGCAATGTTCCATCACTGGCTTAGACACAAAGTAGCTGCTCCACTTTAGAGGGAAATAGTAACAGACACTGGAAGTGCCATATTTGTTGTGAGCAGTGTGAGTCACTGCAAGAAGGGGTATGGAAAGAGGCAGCATCAAAAAGAAAACTCTTGGAGAGTCTATGTCGTATTGGAAATGCATGAAGGGTCCCCTTAACTTCGTGCAACACTCAGGGAAGGCAGGTGTTTACAGGATTTTGAGTAGGTTCTTTCTAAACCAACATGTAAAGTAGTAATATTCTCAAACCCAACAAAACTTGGGGCAATGGAGCAGAACTCTACATATGACAGCAGTTTTAAATTGGAGGTGTTTGAGAAACACCTTACTTCTGCTTTGTAAGACTTTCAGTGGTGCTAAGCATAAAATATAATGCCAAATTCTAATATTTTTTGTCCAAGTCTTACTCTTAAATAATATAGGAGTCTCCTTATTTGGGAAAAATTGAAGATTCTCTCCACCTTTTTTTTCATATTTGGACATAGCTGATAGTAAAAATACCATGTGATTAGAAATATATGCATTTCCAGATTAGACATGCAGTATGGTAGGCACATAATTAAAACAGACAAGGATAATTATTTGCCAAACATTTATTGATTTTTTTAACAGACCAATTGTTTCAACAAGAATGTCTTTAAGGTAGTATAAAGCCTCAAATGACTGTGGGCTGATAAGTCTAGTCAAGAGACTTCTATAAATTTGCCCTCTGTTCATACATCTTCCCCTTTCCTTCTTCCATCACCTTGTGAACTCTTGCTGGACCCAAACAAGAAAGATGTTTACAGGGTCTTGAGTAGGTTCCCTCTAAACCAACATGTACAAAAGTAGTAATATTCTCAAACCCAACAAAACTTGGGGAAGTGGAACAGAACTCTACAAATCACAGCAGTTTTAAATTGGAGTTGTTTGAGAAACACCTTGCTTTTGCTTCATGAAATTTTAAATGGTGCTAAGTATAAAAATATAATGCCAAAAAATAATTTCCTGTGCAAGTCTTTCTCTTAAGAGAGATTTCTTTCAGTTATGAACTGATTTCACATAATATTTTTCACATAAATCACCCCCCTGCATTATTTGAGGGTTGTCAAATTATGCAAGAAAAAGATCGACAAAACTGTTTGGAGGTAAAGACAAATGAGATTTAGGTCGAAGAAAATATCAACTTAAACTTATAAAAATGAGGGTTCCCAACATGATCTACCACTAAAAATAGAGGCTCAACTATTTTTGAATATCAAATTGTTACATTATTCTTGTTAGCTATGAAGGCAATAAATCAATGTGCTCCTCAAACAAAATTCCTTTAAAAAATTAAATGACTTCTTTTGAAAAGTGCGCACCACATCTGCACTAAATAACAAAGACATCTTGCAATAAAGAACTACCCCAGACAGAATAAGAGACAGGAACAGAAAGAAATGAAATGGGTATAGTTTAAGATTCTGGAAAAGACATTCTAAGATCAGAGAGTTTTCCCACAACCAGAAACACATGAGTTATCATTTGATACCCAGTGTTTCTCATTTTCTTTTGCTTGAAAAAGAAACATTTCTTTGGCTGGTGCCAGGACGCTAGCAGCATCCTTTAAGGGCGGTATTGAGACCTCTGCTCTTGGATGTACTCATAGAGAGGGCTGGAACGCACGGGGACGTTGGCAAACTGGCGCGTGCCAGTCTCCAAGGCTTGGCGGCGCCTCTGCTCCTCCTGCCTACGGATCCGCTCCTCTTGAAATTTTCTCTCCCGCTCTTGGCGACGTCTTCGTTCCTCTTCCTGACGACGTTCTTGTTCCTGACGACTACGAATCGTATCCCTGGCAAACTGATTCTCAGCCTGGTACTGCCCATCTCGTTTCTGCCTCCTCAACTGCAGTTCTTCACGTTCCTGGCGCTGCTGCTTCTCCTCCCGGAATTCCCTGTCGCGCTCTTGGCGAAGCTGTTGCTCGCGTTCCTGGTGGCGAAGCTGCTGTTCCTCAAAGCGAAGCTGTTCTTCCTCGAGTTCCTGGCGGCGCCGCTGATGCCCCTCCCTTTCATTCCGGAGCTCTGGTTCCCCGCGGAATCTCTGGTCGCGCTCCTGACGGTGCTCTTCTTCCTCACGGAATTTCCTGTCACGTTCCTGGCGTCTCAGCTGCTCTTCCTGGAGTTCCTGGCGGAGCTCTTCTTCCTCACGGAGTTTTCTGTCGCGCCTGAGCTCTTCTTCCCGGCGGAACTTTCTGTCACGTTCCTGTCCGCGCTGCCGCTCTGCCTCGCGCTCCCTGCGAAGCTGCTCCTCCACCCTCAGCTTTCGGTCTTGTAGCTGTTCTTCCTCCAGTTCCTGCAGGCGCTCCTCTTCCCTGCGGAGTTTCCTGTCACGCTCCTGTCGCCTCAGCTGCTCTTCCTCCAGTTCCTGCAGGCGCTCTTCTTCCCGGCGAAATTTCCTGTCACGCCTGAGCTCTTGTTCCCGGGGGAACTTCCTGTCCTGCAACTGCTCTTCCTCGAGCTCCTGACGGCGCTCTTGATCCCGGCGGAGTTTCCTGTCTCGCTCCTGGCGTCTCAGCTGCTCTTCCTCGAGCTCCTGCAGGCGCTCTTCTTCCCGGCGGAGTTTCCTGTCACGTTCCTGTCGCCTCAGCTGCTCTTCCTCGAGCTCCTGCAGGCGCTCTTCTTCCCGGCGGAGTTTCCTGTCTCGTTCCTGGCGTCTCAGCTGCTCTTCCTCGAGCTCCTGCAGGCGCTCTTCTTCCCGGCGGAGTTTCCTGTCTCGTTCCTGGCGTCTCAGCTGCTCTTCCTCCAGTTCCTGCAGGCGCTCTTCTTCCCGGCGGACTTTCCTGTCACGTTCCTGGCGTCTCAGCTGCTCTTCTTCCAGTTCCTGCAGGCGCTCTTCTTCCTCACGGAGTTTTCTGTCGCGTGTGAGCTCTTGTTCCCGGCGGAACTTTCTATCCCTAGGCTGCTCATCCTCTAGTTCCTGGCGGAATTCTTGTTCCCGGCGGAATTTTCTGTCACGTTCCTGAACGCGCTGCCGCTCTGCCTCGCGCTCCCTGCGAAGCTGCTCCTCCACCCTCAGCTTTCGGTCTCGCAGCTGCTCTTCCTGTAGTTCCTGGCGGAGCTCTTCTTCCCTGCGGAGTTTTCTGTCACGCCTGAGCTCTTGTTCCCGGGGGAACTTCCTGTCCTGCAACTGCTCTTCCTCGAGCTCCTGACGGCGCTCTTGATCCCGGCGGAGTTTCCTGTCTCGCTCCTGGCGTCTCAGCTGCTCTTCTTCGAGCTCCTGCAGGCGCTCTTCTTCCCGGCGGAGTTTCCTGTCACGTTCCTGGCGCCTCAGCTGCTCTTCCTCACGGCGCTCCTGGCGAAGCTGTTGTTCCTGGCGGGATCTTCTGTCGGATTCCTGGCGCCTGAGCTGCTCTTCCTCGAGCTCCTGCAGGCGCTCTTCTTCCCTGCGGAGTTTCCTGTCTCGTTGCTGACGGAGCTGCTCTTCCTCCAGGAGCTGCTCCTCCTCACGCCGCTGCTGGCGGCGCTCTTGTTCCTGGCGGAATCTTCTGTCCTCACGCTCAGGTCGCCTCAGCTGCTCTTCCTCAAGCTCCTGACGGCGCTCTTGATCTCGGCGGAGTTTCCTGTCTCGTTCCTGGCGTCTCAGCTGCTCTTCCTCGAGCTCCTGCAGGCGCTCTTCTTCCCTGCGGAGTTTCCTGTCTCGTTCCTGGCGTCTCAGCTGCTCTTCCTCGAGCTCTTGCAGGCGCTCTTCTTCCCTGCGGAGTTTCCTGTCTCGTTCCTGGCGTCTCAGCTGCTCTTCCTCGAGCTCCTGCAGGCGCTCTTCTTCCCGGCGGAGTTTCCTGTCTCTTTGCTGACGGAGCTGCTCTTCCTCCCGGAGCTGCTCCTCTGCACGCCGCTGCTGGCGGCGCTCTTGTTCCTCACGGGATTTTCTGTCGCGCTCCTGCCTAAATTCTTGGCGGCGCAGCTCCTCCTCCTGGAACTGTCTTTCTTCTCGTCTTTGCCTCAGTTCTTCCCGCTCCTTCCGCAGTTGCCTTTCCTCCTCAAGGAACTTTCCGTCCCTCTCCTGTGGCCGTCTCCTCGAGTCTCTCAGGAGCTGCTCTTCCTCCCGGAGCCTCTCGCCTCGTCGTGCGGCTTCCCGTTGGCGCTCTCGCTGCAGCTGCTCTTCCTCTTGGAACTGCCGGTCACGCTGCTGTCGCTGTCGCCGCCGCCTCTCCTGCTCCAGCTCTCGCTTCTCTTCTGCTTCGTCTTGCAGAGGCCGCCGATCCTGACGTGAGCGTCTCTCATGCTCCAGAGAATCCTCCAGCTGCCGGATCTGTTCTCCATCCTCCCTGCGTTTGGAGAAGAGCCTGCGGCCACGAGCTTCAGTTTCTTTCTCTGGTAGCCACTGCCACTTCAGATCCCTACGCTGACCTTCGTCCCGCAGCCTCTGCAGGTCCTCCTCTTGATACTGCCTCTCCTGCTGCAGGCGCCTCCTTTCTCTCCGTAGCCGCCCTTCCTCCTGCTGCAGCCGCTCTTCCTCCTGCTGCAGGTCCTCCTCTTGATACTGCCTCTCTTGCTGCAGGCGCCTCCTTTCCCTATGCAACTGCTCTTCGTCTCGCTGCAGCTGCTCTTCGTCCCGCTGCAGCTGCTCTTCTTCGCGCTGCAAGTAGTTCTCCTTGCGATCCTGCCTCTCCTGCTGCAGGCGCCTCCTTTCCTTCCTCAGCAGTTCTTCCTGCTGCTGCAGCCGCTCTTCCTCCAGTTGCAGCTGCTCTTCCTCGCGCTGCACGTCGTTCTCCTTGTGATACTGCCTCTCCTGCTGCAGGCGCCTCCTTTCCTTCTGCAGCCTTTCTTCCTCCCGCTGCAGCTGCTCTTCCTCTCGCCGCAGCTGCTCCTCCTCCTGCCGCAGCTGCTCCTCCTCCTGGCGGTATTTCCTGTCCCGTTGCCGGCGCTGCTGAGCCTCTTCTTGCAGCAGCCGCTCCTCCCGCAGCACTTCCTCTCTCTGCTGCCTGGCGCTGGGTTTGGAGTACAGCGTGCGGCGCCTCTGGCTTTCTTCCTGCAGTTGCCTGCGCTCGGCCTGACGACGCCTCTGGCGTTCCTCTAGGAGGCTGTCCTGGAGCTCTGCTCGCTGCTGCTCCTCCTCCCGGAAGCGCTGCTCCTCCGCCTGTCGCCTCTGCGACCTCTGCTGCTGCTGCTGCTCCAGGCGTTCCTCCTCTTCCTGGGCGCGCTGCCTTTGGAGCTCCCGGGACCGTTGCTCCTGCTCCCGGAGCTGACGCTCTTCCTGCTCCTGTCTGCGTGGCCTGGCGTAGACTTTGTTCTGACGGGCTTCGGCCTCGCTTTCGAGCTGCCTCTGCAACCTCCGGGTGAGAGTCTGGGACTCCCGGAGTGGCGTCTGCTCCTCGTCCTCCTCAGCCACCAACTCCTGCTGACGCCTCAGCTCGGGGTCGCGCAGCTGCTGCAGCCGTCTCTCTTCCCTCTGCTCCCTGCTCTTGAGTTCTTGCCTTTGCTGTTCCTCTTCCTCGGAAAACTCTTCAGCATCAGGACCCTGGCTCCAGCTTAGTGGCTCTTTCTCCGCTAGGCGCTCCTCCAGTTCCTGCAGTTCTCTCCTCTGCTGTCGCTCCTCCAGTCTCTCCTGCCTCCTGCTCTGCTCCTCAGCGCGCTCCTCCTGCTCACGTCTTTTCTGCCAGCTTCGGCGCCCGGGTTCTTCGTCCCGTTGTACGTCCCGGGGCTCGAATCTCCTTTGGTCTTCTTGCCTGCGATCTTGTGACAGGCTCCTCTTCTCATCTAGCCCTATGGCCTGATTGATAGCCGAATAGCAAGCTTGAGCAAGCTTGAAAAGGAACAGGAGGAATTCGTTGAAATCAACACGCCCGTTGGAGTCCCGATCCAGAAGTTCTAGGATCACATCTACCGTCTCAGGGTCATGTGGTCTCTATGAAAGATTAAAGCAAAGGTTTTATAATTAATTATTTGCACGTAGTAAGCTTTCACTCTCACACTTATTTATGTTGTGCTGAGATCAGGAGATACTTAGTGTAATTAGAAAATTCTTAGTGTATGTCGTCTTGCTTTCTCATACGATATGTGGACAACTCATGTCAAAGCATACACCGTTGGAAATTTTTGTAATTGTTTGCTGATCAAAACAAATTCTTTCTAGATAGCTGAATAAAATGAATTTGTCCTTTGTGATCAATAAAATAAAATTTATGAAGATTTCCAAAGGACATTTTTGTTTGAAAAAGCCAATACTCCTGATTTAATTTTTATTCCGTGTTTGAAGAACTAAGATATTTACAGCGACACCATTTTAGTCGAGAAATAGGCAGGTTTCAGTTACTGAAAGTTGGGAACAGAAAAGTTCCTTCAAGTCTATTAACTTGATTAGGCACCATTAGTGGTAATGCCCTATTAATTAACACTTCATTCCCATTAACAATATCATCAAGTCTATTAAATACATGCTATTAACTTCTTTAGTACTCAGATTACAACACCAATTTAAATACCTCAGGCTTTAAAATTAATGATGATGTAATGTAGACCTGTCATGTTGAAAAATCCATTTTAATCAATATTCTTTGCTCTGGTCTTTCTTGGGAAGAAAAGTGATAGCCCCACATCCATAGAGTTCTTTTTCCGGTCAGGTCTTACCTGGAGGACATCTCCAAGTTCCCTTTCCAGGAGGTTCTTCAGGTCTTTCTTGCTCAGTGATGCTCCTTCACAGCTATGTGTGGCATAATGATCGAAAACTTCAGCGATGTCAATAACGCTTCTTAGAAGTGGAGACATGTTTTCTTTCCTTCAAATTCAAGTAAACCTTGAACAGTAAGATAGGATTCGGATTCAAGCCTCTGTTTCTGAATTTAGGGAGACTTCACTCACACTGATTTAGACAGCTCTCTAGTCTTTCCACTAGTGGTTGAGATAGCAATTTGCATTTTACCCCTCAATATTGTATTCTAAAGGAGGAAGAGAAACATTGAAAAATTCTAAGCCAAGGAAATCATCTTCAAAGCATATTACAGTCAACTTTTCATTGTCCATCAGTGTGAACTATCCACATCCTCCTCCCCCTTTTTTTTTGTTTTGACATATTTCAGAGCAGATAATGAAGAGATGAGGGTAAGAATCTAAATTCTATATGCTGCTACTCATAGCAACCCCTAAAGCTGAGCAAAAAGGGTAGGTAAAAGCCAAGGAGCATGTGAAAGAAGGGCTTGAGCATCATTAAAAGTAAATATGTATAGACAATTGTGTCTGCAAAAACCTGGCAACAAATAGAACAGTGAAAAGAAGATGTGAATTATTCCTTAAATGTGTAGCCCATAGGAGACTACTTCATGTCATCAATTCTAAGATTACAGAGTGCCTCCTCATCAAAATAAAACATTGTAACGTTTAGATACAACAAAGCAGAAAAGCAGAATGCATGTTGCCTGCATCAACTTAGATGTACTATGGGTATTCATATCTTCTGTTACTGAAGTTTATTTGAGAGATCCTGATTGATGAATCAGAGTCAATGTGTCAAACAAACCTGGAGAACTTTGAATAATATTGGTCTTAAGGCTGGCATTGGTTAAATGCAAATAAATCATTTCAATGTTGGTATTGTAAGTGGGAGGGGGACTCTGGGAATGTAGCTCAATAGTAGAGAGGGTGTTAGTATGTGTAAAATAATGTGTTTAATTTTCAGTATTGCCAAGACAAAGCAAAACACACGGCCACAGCAAAACCTTGTCCACAGACACACTGGTATTAAAAGAACACTCGGATGGCTTTGCTGGCTGACTGCATAGTAGGTCACTTGGCTGAATTCTTTGTCATCATCTGTCTCCAACACCTCACATACCAACCCAGATGTGAACGGTATGAAGATCCCAGTGTCATAAAAGAGATCAGGGGATTTGCATACTCTAGGGATGATAGTTTTTCAGAAAGGTGAGCCTCATAAGAGGCACACATGATAGTTTTTGATGTGCCTAAGTATTGGGTTCAGAGTCTTGAGAGAACTACTGCTATTCAAGTGATGGATCTAACCATAAAAAGATGGGACAAGCCAAGCATGCTGGCTCCCCAGAGGCAGAGGTAGGCTACTTTCTGTGAGTTCGAGACCAGCCTACTCTACATAGTCTAGGCTAGGCAGGGCTAAACAGTGAGACCTCGTCTAAAAGAGAAGGGGAAGGAGGAGATGAGATTTTGCCAACACTGGAAGACGGAGATCCCTCAGGAGCATAGGAACTACCTTCATTCCCCCAACATGTACTACCACAGCTAGAAAGTGAAGAATCAAATAGAAGAACGCCATCCCCCAGAACGGGACTTACCCACTTCACCAGAGGAAGAAGTCAAGTGCTTGCTCGCTGACACTGCTGGCAAGTGTGCTAGCTAACTGGGAGCCGGGCTTTTTATAGGGGTTGTAATTGTGCCCTGGGGAGCAACTTAGGAAGGAGACACCCACTCTGTGGGGCGACCTGATTCATTCAAATCCCAGCTCCACCTCTGTCTCCAGGAATGGCTTGTTTATCTCATTATTTGCTCACGTAGCTATTTGGACAGGGTTCACAGGACTTGCCTCCTGACTGCATACTGGCCCCACCTAACACGAAAAGGTAGAATATTTGGCAGATTTTCTAATTTTCTTTCATGGTTAAAATAAAAAAAAAAACCATTAAAACAAAGGCAATGAATGTTCCGAATTATTGTGACTTCATAAAAAAAAATCTCTAGTCATTTATTTTTTTAAGATTTAATTTTAAGTGTGTATGTGTGTGCGTGTGCGTGAACACATACGAGTACAGGTGCCTATGGAGGCCAGAAGTGTCAGCTTCCCCTGGGACCGGCCACACAACATGGACACTAGGAATCAAATTTAGGAACTTTGCAAGAGCAGTAAGTGCTGTTAACTGTGGAGCCAGATGTCTAACCCCTTAAACCATTTATTTTATGTAAACTACAAACTCTAGGTTGACAGTAAACAGGAACTTTGCCATAACCGGATGAAAAGCAGCTAACTGCTGTGTGGCACGCAGCGGAGCATGAAGAGGTGACCACAAGCCCTGCCTGGAGCACCTTGACAATGGTGAGAGGCACCGAGTTTCTCTTCTAAAAATTCGGATGGGAAATTTATTTTACATTTGTATTCCTCAGTTTATCCTACAGGTGAGAGACTGCTTCCTAAGCAAATAATTTTGGAGAGAGTCTTAAAATATGTGTTTATCAAAGTGTAGGTGAAGGAACCTATTGTGAAATTTCATCCTTAGAGGTATTAAATCTAAATGAAATTTGCTCATTTGTTTTTCTTGCTAGCACGTTGAAGCCCCTGGAGAAAAAGAGCTAGTGTCATGCGTTATTGTAGATATAATCATCTCATTCAGCCTAAGTTACTAATGGTTATGACATCTAAACACTTGAGTTGGCTTCTCCTAGAAGCACATTAAGGTCATTCTAGCCCATTATAGCCGTCAGAGCTTTCTCAACCCCGGTGCTATTTTATTGTAAGGAACTGGATTTACTCCCGGTTGCCAGTGACTCCCACCCTTCCATTTCATACTACGTGAAACTTTGGTTCATAATAGGTTTATGGAGACTATTAAATGATTCAGCAGCTTCTCTGAAATTAGGCAAGTACTGGTTTTTGGAATTTTGAGGAGAATTTCATAGTTAAAATAAAAACATTAAAGCAAGGGTTTTATGCTCCTTTAGTGGTATGTGAAACCAGGAGCCTAAATCTTGATGTCTATTTCTTACTTTCTTCCCTGCTATCCCAGACGTGGGCTGATGTGACAAGAGAGGAAAAGACGATTGTAAACCTAGCTTATTTCTGCTTCTTCAAGACCTTCAGTACAGAAGTCTTTGATTTCCAAATTTCTTTAGAACCGTCAGAACTGTCATTATCTATAGGGGCCAGCGAATTAATTTGATGTGGCAAATCCTTTAGGAGTAAGGCTTCTCGTCCTCAGTTCTTACTGATGTTTTATACAGTCCTCTTAGTCTTTGGGTACCTTGAGCAATGTACACACAACTACCTACAAGCCGTCAAACACTTCTTTCTCTCTCCTTGAAGGATTCCCTGTAACCGAATTAAGTCTGTTTGTGGTTTCTCTCTCTCTCTCTCTCTCTCTCTCTCTCTCTCTCTCTTTCTCTCTCTCTGGATTTGCTAGACTAGAGAGGTCAATGGTTTTCAACTTGTTAAAAAATCTCAGTTCAGGTTTTTCATCCTGAAATAAGTCTTAATAATGTCTTTCTTACCTAATCCTCTCTATATCAAATATGACATAAAGGAAATCGACCTTTCTTCTTCTTGAATTTTGGTTTATTTCTAAGTAACTTCAGTCTGATAACAGGGCTGACTACATTGCTACATACATTCTTTTATTTTAGACAAAGCCTAAAATAAAATAAAATAAAAATATCATTTCAGGGGGCTGGATTAATGGCTCACAAGTTAAGAACTCTTGTTACTCTTACAAAGGACTGCTCACAACCTTCTGTTATTTCAGCTACAGGGGATTTGATGGGCTTGTCTGGCCTCTGCAACTGCAGGCATGCAGACTCTGCATATACAAATGTGCAGGCATGCAATACTCAAGCATGTGATTCTTAAAAGAATGCAGCAACAAACAAAATCAGACCAATTAGGTGTGGTGGCGTATCAGCACTAGGAGGCAAGCAGATGTCTGTGAGTTCAAGGCTAGCCTGGTTTACAGAGTGAATTTCAGGCAGCCAGAGTCACCTAGTATGATCCTTTCTAACAAGGGCAACAATAATGAAAAAGAAAATTTCAGTAGTAGTCTCTAATGTGATTTTTGGGCAAAGAAACAATTTTAATTATTTTATAGTTTCAGTAAAAGATGCAGAAATGCTAGCAAATGTAGAAAATCAACTCCTAGCAAATGGATTCAGTCAATTTTTATTGAAAGAAAACTAGAAAACTATGAGAATGGTAATATCCAATCATGTTTCCTCCAAGATAATCTAGAAAACTATGAGAATGGCAATATTCAATCATGTTTCATTAAAGATAATCTAGAAAATCATGAGAATGGTATTATCACGTTTCATCAAAGATAATGTTGTTTTTATAATCTGGATATTATTCATTTTGTTTTTGGTTTCTCAAGACAGGGTTTCTCTGTGTTGCCCTGGGTGTCTTGCTCTGTAGACAAGGCTGGCCTCGAAGTCAGAGATCTACCTGCCTCTGTGGCCTGAGTGCTGGGATTCAAGACGTGTGTTACCAAATCTTCATATTTGTATACAGCAAAGTTCTCATTGCTTAAAAATAGTTAAAATTAATTTATTTACTTGTATATAGGGGCATAAATGGGACGCTCAGAGGACAATTTATGAGAATAGGTTCTCTTCTCCCAACATATGGGTCCCTGGGATTGAACTCAGGCTTTTGGGCTTGTTAGCAAGTACCTTCACCCACTGAATTATCTCACTGGCTCTCGTTGTCTTTGATTTTTAAAGACTGAAAACAGAGAGGTCAAAAAATATTACCAGCTAGTATGGGAATGAACTGATACACTACTTCATCTCTGTGTGAATATTCTTTATTCCAAGAACATATCTGTAGTTCTATACTGACATTTGGGACTTGCTTCCTTTATTATAGAAGAATTAAAAGGAAGTAATTAAATGTATTTATGAGGAAATTTTTATCACATTTATTGTGTGTGTGTGTCTGTCTGTCTGTGTGCGCACGCGCACACGCTCAAGTCATGGCACAGGTGTGGAAGTGAAAGGACGACTTGTGAGAGGTAGTTCTCTCCTTCTACCATGTAGCC